TCTGTAAGTTCTCATTGGCATTTGTTCTCTGACCGCAACAAGGCTGGGTACACAGCAAGTTCCTTAACAAACACTCAACAAATAAAATCATTTTTCTTCAGTAACACACTGATGAGCTGCAGAGGCAACTCAGCTTATTCAGTGCAAGCATTTCTGGGTCTCAATAATGAAACTATTGAATTATTTCGATATAATAATTTTAGAGAAAAGTATACTAAGGCAACACACTCATGTGAATGTACCTAATGCCACAGGGCTGTACATTTAAAAATGGTTAAAGTGGTAAATCTTATGTTACACAAATTTTACCACACACAAAAAGAGTAAACTAAAGCATTGTATACAAATTTAAGACTAAAGGAAATATCCTATCTACATTTGCTACTTCTCACCTGATGAGCATGTATAAACATCAAATTATATCATCACATATTCTTTTCATTTTTTTGGCAAGTTGTTCTTAAATGGACACTTCAAAATGATTCTTTATTAAAACAGAACAAATTTACAAACCTTAAAGAATAGCAATCCAAACACCAGTTGTCAGACTGATTAAAAGGAATCCTTGTTTCATAACGCAGAAATCCATCTATACAGATGCAGATACACTAAAGTGACATTCACTTCTCTCTTTTGTATGAGGAGGGAAACACTTATTTTTGAAGAGCTCTCTTAAAAAAGTCTTTACATTAAAAATTTAATAGATTATAATTAAAAGATAAGCAAAAATATAGGCACATAAATCTTATTTTCACCATAGGGATTCTATCTTGTTCTTATAGACAACCTATGAACTATAACACTATACTATTCATTCTTGTTTTATGAACTTCCAAGCAAAATTCAGAGAAAAAGATTTGGTTGATAGATGAAGTCTTCCAAGGACTGTGGACAATATAATCTAGAATCCAAATGAGTCCCAACTTTGGATATTGAGAGGCCTCAGGTTTCCATTCTTCATTCATTCATTTAACCAACAATAATGAGTATACCCACTCCATGCTAGGGGCTAGACATTGTAGAGTTTTGAAGAAACTGATAGAGTCTAATTTTTATCTCAGAGAGATCACTCTGGATGTGCACTAGATGGACAACACTGAAGATGGTGCCGTAGGTGACTACTGACGCATTAAAGGAAAGAGATGGTGAATGCCTGAGGTAGATTACTAGCAAAAGGAATGGAGAGAGGTCAGAGGTATCAAAAAAGTAGGAGGTAAAATCAAAAGTCTTTCACTGGGTCTAGGATGACTCCTAGATTTTTGGTTTGAGTGAGAAGTGAATGAAAATATTGCTGAGATATGGATTATCAGGAGAGGTGAAGTGGGAGGGAAACAGGGTTTACTTTGGGCCGTGGTGAATTTTTAGATGACTATGGGCCATCTAGGTGAAAAGACTAGGCAGAGGAGAAGACTTAAAGTATAAAGTTTGAGGAATAAGAGGACCAGGAGCGTGACCCCTCACAGAAGCCAAAGAATAGACTTACAGGAGTGAGTGCCAGAAAATAAGATGTTAAGATGGCTTACTGGATTTAGCTGTTCAAATGTCTGCTGGTAACTCTGATTAGAGAATGTCTTTTTTTTTTTAAGATTTTATTTATTTATTTGAGAGAAAACAAGAGAGGGAGAGAAAGAGGGAGAGCACAAGCAGAGGGATGGGCAGAGGAAGAGGGAAAAGCAGACTCCCCACTGAGCAGGGAGCCCAACATGGGGCTCAAGCCCAGGACCCTGGGATCACGACCTGTGTTGAAGGCAAATACAAAACCAACTGAGCCACCCAGGTGCCCCATCGTGGGAGAATGTCTTACTTTGCCTTCAAGATGGTGAGGACAGTGATGAGGGTGAGAGCAAAGGGTTTCAAGAAAAGGGAGTAGCAGGTATAATGTTCTTTGGTGGGAAAGAAGGCCAGGAGGACTCTAGCATAAATGAGGGGTAGATTGGCTCCAACTGAGACTGGAACAACAGGCAGAGGCCAAGAGTGATCATCCAGGAGAAAGCTAGTCTCAAAAATGCTGGCTTTATTAACTTGGAATGGTGATAGCTCAAGGAATGGAAATTTAGGTCATATATATATATAATATATAATATATACATATATCTAATATATCCTGTCCAATGTGCCAGTGCCCAAATCCACATCCGTTTGGCAGTTAGGCCATCTAGAGAAAGCCCACGCCCCACATACAAGGCCTAACCCTTCACACAAAACTCAAGGAGGTGGAGGAGGTTGTATCCTCACTATACCTGTTGCCGTCAAGTTTTAGGTAAGGGAAGGTTGCACCTGTAGAATTATACCGTTAAAATTTCCAAAGTTATTTTCTCATAGTAAACTCAAATTACGTAATGTAAAGTCACCAAGAGGTGACATGACTTACTTATGATTAATACCACGTGACCCACCTAAAGTCACTCTGTGGTGCAGTGGGGGTAGAGGTCCTGATATCCACTGCTGAGAAGTGGGTGGAGCCTGACCCAAGCTTTGTGTACCATTGGATCTCCCTGGTGGCTCCCTAAGCCTAGCTGGTTAGAAGCTGAATAGCTATTTTATTATCCATAAAGAAAACATTCATTCCCTACAACACCTTATAATTCAACTAAAGAATCAATTAAAGGCAATGCTAACAGTATGCATGCACATATCTCTTGACAAATTAAGTTTTATGTCTGCATTTAACATGCATCTCATTTATAAAAGGTGATCCATTTAATAAAATACACTAAACTAAAGCCATCTTCTTTAGGAAACCTACTCCAATATGTATACACTGTGGCAGAGATAGAAAACTAGTTGAATTATAGGAAGCCAGTGACAATCTAAATATTCTCTAAAATGACATCTTCTCTTAAAAAAAGAAATAACATCTTCTCTTATATGACTCTTCTCGTTTGAAAGCAAAAATAACTGATATTCTACAGGCAAACATGGGCATAGAGTGTAGAAAGTCCATTTCAGGGTAGGTTCTTAGTACCATTGATTTGTTTTGCTGAGCAGAGGAAGGTTCCTTTGTGCTAAATCTCACTGCAATCATTCACTCAGAACTCGTTAAGAAATGACTCAATAAAAATTATTATCTCAAGCTCTTTTGCTACATGGTTTCTATCCAGGGCTTTCTGAAAGTATGACTCTTATTATGCATGTCCAATATATTATTTCAAAATAGAGTATTTGATTATACAAAGATCAAGTACCTACTATGGCACTGTCCTAGTGGCCAGTTCTTTGAATAATCATTAACCCCAAAAGTAATGTTGCCTGGAATAAATGCTTTGTCTCCATCACTCTTTTAATATACAGGTTTTTATAAATGATAAAGTTAGTAAAACAATGACAAAAATTATCAAATTTGATAATTCGAGAAAAGCATATAACAAATGCTTCTAAATAGAGAAAAACAGGGGTGCCTGGCTAGTTCATCAGTAGAGCATGCGACTCTGATCTCAGGATTGTGAATTTGAGCCCCACTTTAGGTGTAAAATATTACTAAATAAAAAAATAAATAAAATCCACAAACATTTAATAAATAAATAAGCAACTTTACATAACATTAAGAATGCTGAATAACCAAGACCACAAAGGGGAACAGAAGCTGATAAGGGCAATATGAAAAAGAAGTACTATGTCAATTATATATAGTTATTATATCTTTAACACTATAGCCTTTACTGAGATAATGAAAACCAGACAAGGTGCAAACTAAGCATCAAAGAAATGACCAAAATCTATAAAGCTGGCCTTCAGAAAAATAGTGTTAAAAGCATTGCCATTTGGGCGCCTGGGTGGCTCAGTTGGTTAAGCATCTGCTTTCGGCTCAGGTCATGATCCCAGGGTCCTGGGATCGAGTCCCACATCGGGCTCCCTGCTCGGCGAGAAGCCTGCTCTCCCTCTCCCACTCCCCCTGCTTGTGTTCCTGCTTTTGCTGTGTCTCTCTCTGTCAAATAAATAAATAAAATCTTTAAAAAAAAAAAAAGCATTGCCATTTGACAAGAAAATGAATACAACTTCCACATGGAGCCTCCATATAATTTTATGTCATGGAAAATAAATCTTAAATTACACAGCTCGACCTAGAACTCCGTTATTCCTAGATGTGCTAGAAAGACCTTGTCACTAACAGTGTGGTTTGTAAAAGTTTGCTGCAGGAACCCAGAAGATGGCATCAGCAGGCTTTGTGACACCAAGATCCTGTTGCCATGTTCCCTAGCAGGGTGTCCCCCTTATCTGCAGTTTTACTTTTCAGTTAAACAAGGCATAGAAGTAAATGATCCTCCTTCTGACATACTGTCAGAAGGTCAATAGTAACCTAACAACCATGTCACCGTGCCTCCATCATTCACCTCGCTTCATCTCATCATATAGGCATTTTATTATTGCACAATCATCACAGGAAGAAGAGGGGTGAGTACAGCACAATAAGATATTTTGAGACCATATTCACATAGCTTTCATTACACTATGTAGCTACAATTGTTTTTTATTAGTTATTATTGCTAATCTCTTACTGTACCTAATGTATAAACTCAACTTTATTATTGGATGTGTGTATGGGAACAAACATAGTTATCTATAAGGTTCAGTACTATCTGTGGTTTCAGGCATCCACTAGGGGTCCTTGAACATATCTCCTGTGGATAAGGGGCAGGGTCACTGTAAGTGCTAATAGACAGCAAAGCATTTTATTCACCAGAATAGTACTGGATTTTCAGTAGATTAATGATTTTATAATGCCTGCTAAAATAACTGGAATTGCAAAATCAAGATTAAGGAGTCACATTCTATGGTTTTCATTTTTGAGACAAAGGTTTCTTTATCCTCCTCTAGACAATAATGTTTGTCTCAAACTAACAAGGCTTTGATTTGAAATTTTTAACAAAAACTGGGAAGAAATTGATTCAAAAAAATGGTAAGAGTAATAGTAAACAACCCCAAAATATCCTCTCTGTGTCACAGTTTAAAGAATATCATATCCTGATTTATATACTTAAAATGTTATTTATTAGGGGATGGCGGAGCGTGAGGATGGAGCGGGTGTCCGGGCTGCTCTCCTGGACGCTGAGCAGAGTCCTGTGGCTCTCCGGCCTCTTTGAGCGGGGAGCTGCCCGGCAGCCCCGGATCATGGAAGAAAAAGCGCTAGAGGTTTATGATTTGATTCGAACTATCCGGGACCCAGAGAAGCCCAATACTTTAGAAGAACTGGAAGTGATAACAGAAAGTAGTGTGGAGGTTCAGGAGATAAACGAAGAAGACTATTTGGTTATTATCAGGTTCACGCCAACAGTACCTCACTGCTCTTTGGCAACCCTTATTGGGCTGTGCTTAAGAGTAAAACTTCAGCGGTGTTTACCGTTTAAACATAAGTTGGAAATCTACATTTCTGAAGGAATCCACTCAACAGAGGAAGACATCAACAAGCAGATAAATGACAAAAAGCGAGTGGCAGCTGCAATGGAAAACCCCAACTTACGGGAGATTGTGGAACAGTGTGTTCTTGAGCCTGACTAATAGCTATTTTAAGAGCCACTTAACTTTAATTGTTTGATATTTTTGTTTAAATTCTTCGTAAAATGTAAAAGACATGTTTAATACATAGGTGATTTGTACCTCAAGGCATTTTTTTAACAGATGATTTGCAAGCAAGATTTAATTATAAGTAGTACCTAGTTTGTTCAGTGTATAACATTCTCAGGATTTATAACACTTAAGTGATTGGACAGAAAAATATTTTCTAGTGATTATGTGTCAGATGAGTTGCTATTTTTCTGGTGCCTCTTCTGATAACAACTACTTTTCATGTCAAATATTTACTGTGCCCAAGTGTATTCAATTTAAATCATTGTAGCATAAATAAAGCAGAGATGATTCTTGTAATGATGTACCTTAGAATGTTTTTGTTGAATTATACATCTTAGTGTAAATGCCAACTCTAAAAGATATTTACAAAGCTTTATTTTCTGATTATTATGTAGAATCAGAAATCTGAGAACCAGAAAGAACCCTTAAAATCAGGAGTAGGCCCTGCCTTCAAGGATAGTCTTGGACCCATTTGTAGATGAGGATCAAATGTGGAGTGGGCCAGATAACATACGTAATTTTGAAGATCAAGAAGTCCCCAGAGAAGTTTTGATTAAACCAATCTAAATTTATGGTTTCTTCTTTACTTGAACTTTGTTCAGTTTATTTTAGGGGATAATGATCATTTGAAGTGTAACAGGGTGTGGTTAGGAAGGTGGCCTCCCAGATGTTTCCCAGTGATCCTTGATTCCTGGTCTTCATGCCTCTATGTATTTCCTTCTATATTGAATCAAAGCTGCTAGGTGTGGCTAATCACGAATCAGAGGTGACTGTGACTTCTGAGGCTAGATCATAACAGGTGTTGTTACATTCATCTTGATTTCTTGAATTTCTCACTCTGTGGGAATCCAGCTACTGCATCTTGAGAACACACGAGCAACCCTGTGGAGAATTCCACAAGGAGAGGAATTGAGGCCTTGCACCAACAGTCAGCACCAATTTGCAAACCATGTGAGTGAACCATGTTAGAAGTGATCCTCCAGCCTCAGTCAAGCTGATATCTGGACTGGAACTTCACGAGACCCTGAGCCAGAACTGTCTAGCTAAGCCGTCCACATTCCTGACCCAGAGAAGCTGTGAGCAATAATAAATGTTTATTGTTTATAAAAAATAAATAAATAAAATAAAATAAAATGTTATTTATTAAAGATCTGAAACAAACCTACTTATATGATGTTTATTCAACAACAGTAAAGGTGAAGAATTCTCTCTCCCTATACCTTTTTCTATATGCTTCATCTCTGTGATTCATTCAAGAAGCAAAACCATTAAAACCTAATAAAAATTACTGACTGTTCATTGCAGATCAACAGTCACAGGTAAAATCAAAGACTATTTCATTTGTTTTAATTTTTTTTTCATCTGTACGGAAATTACATCCATGTAGGTCAGGAGACCCAGCCAGGTAACAGCTTCAGAAGCCCACGTCTCCAGATGTTCAATTCCTTCTATAGTTTCATTGATTGCTGCCATTTCTGTTTTCCCTTACAGCATTAGGGCACAAACCCTGTGGTTGTTTGTTGTGAAACCTTACTGACTGACAGACTTTGTATTCTCAACTTACTTCCCCTCAAGTCCACAAGCACAGATGTTCCTTTATAGTGTCAACAGTTTTCATGGAAAAGGCCTTGTTTCTCACTTAAATGTTACTAATCTCTGCTTGTATCCTTCATGATCCACTACTGTGTATACAGTTACAAGGAGCATTAACACTCCCATTTTTCTAGTCAAAAACATGACCTTTTTCAACTAACCCCAACTGTCGCATGTAATACATGCTTTTGCTTATTATAAATCCCAGGAGAATTTGTTACATTACTGTGCCTTAGAAGCGTCAGTATGAACAAAGGGAAGTGGATACGAATAAAAGGTACCTAACGATTATTCAACAGCCTCCGAGGAATGACATGTCCCTCTAAGACAGATGTCCACCTCACACTCAAAAACAATACAATTCATCGGTGCCAAGAACCAAGTGGGCCTGGAGACTGAGATAGGATTCTATCCTCTCTTGCGAGACTCCCCACACAGCAGGGCCTGAGGATCTGGCTGAACTTAAAGCAGCATAGACTGTTGTTTTTGGTGTGAGAATTCCCGAGAGGTGCTCCTTAAGGAAAACCGCTTGACATGGTCCCTAAAGAAAGTCTGTAATGAAGAATAAGTAAACGTATTCTTTTAATGCCTGTATCTAATCCATCTCTTCCAGTGTATTATTGTAGAGATTGAACGTAATGCCCTAATTAGTTCATAGGTATAAGCCCATAACTCGATGCTTTATTAAGGTATCCATCAGAAATTGATAAATGTTTTAGGCCTTCAAATCTAGGCACAATTTTGAATGCATAATTATACATGCATGATTTTTTTCACTCAACTAATGTTGCATATTTACTTAAATTACTTGATCTGAAAAATCAAAATATCAACAGGAATGGAACATTCTCAGATAGAGTTCATTTCAAAAATGTTCCTGACAAAATTTTCTATTTTTCATTTGGTGCTAAATAGCCAGTTTACAGAACAGTTTGTCCTTCGTTGTAACTTTTCAATGTTTAAGGGTTATATTTACCATCAAATATGAGACACCAATGTATTATTGACATTGGTTTTAGTCACTGGCATTTCCTCTAACCATCCAAATTTGAATAAAGCATATTTAAAAGTGAAAAGTATATTTCAATACTATAGAGTTCTACCACTTGTTATCATAGGGTGTTAGTAGAGTTGAGTTTCAGAAACACTCATAGAAATAAAAAAATCATTCAGAATTTGAAAGTTGCTAGGAGAGTAGATCTTAAAAGTTCTCATCACAAGAAAAATACTGTAACTGTGTGGTGAGGGATGTTAAATAAACTTATTCTAGTAATCATTTCACAAATACACATATATCAAATCATTATGTTGTACACCTAAAACTAATACAATGTTATATATCAATTATATCTCAACTTAAAAAGAAAATCATTTAGAGTTATATTAGACTAAATGGAAATAAGAGATATAATCAGCCTAGCTTCATAGCATAAAGTTTTATTAACAAAAATAGAATTCAAAAAATGGTCTTCTAGAAATTCATAGTTTTTTGTGCAATATTTGGTAAGGACAAGATTTCAGAGTAAATATATACATATATATCATTTATAAGTTCCAAATAGGGTATATAGAAAACATAACTATTAATAATATTTCTTTGAGATGGAATCAGTGCCATTGTACTATATAGTAATAGATACATGTAGGTTTCTCATTAAGAAAAAAAAATCCTACAGAAAATTTAAAAACAATGAATGTATTTTTAAAAACCCATTTTCTAAATTTGTGTGACTTGGGACATGGAGATTAAATGTCAATTTAATAAAAGCACAATTCTATTCAAACTTAAGAAACAATTCATTTATAGACTAAATCCATTCTTCCTGGATTTGGAGAAGTCTAGTCTGCCATTTAATAAATATATGTATATGTTAACAAGTGGACCATTTCTTGCACTTGTATTAAGTCTTTATAGATTCTAAAACTTACATTTAAATTACTTTAAACTTCCCAGTTGAGTATTTTTCTGTAATAAATATCTAAAAGAAATCTCTAAGCTTTTTATAAGGATAGATCCATGAACTACAAATAAAATAAAAATTCTCTTGACCCAATGCAATGTGCAAACACATTCTTAATGCTTTTTCTCTCTTATAGTGATAATTGAATATGCTCTTCAGGATTAATGACCTTAGAGATATAAAAGCTTTGGCTCAAATAGCCAACTTGACCTGAACATCAAGATGAATCTGATTAAAGGTTTCAAGTTTTATCCATAACTTCCGGAATGGGTTAGAACCGTCTAGCACTTTAATCCTTATTGTATGACTCTGATTAACTGAACATCAGCATCTGTCCATGTGCAACAAACAGATGGCAGTTCTCAGAGAATGCATATTCTCAGCACAAAGACTCTAAGGGTGAATGCCTCACCCCTGCCCAACCACTGATAACCCAGTGAAGGTGCCATGGTCAAAGTGGAACAAATAATTGTCTTAATTTAGAAAAATGTAAAAGGAAACTGTGAAGGATAGTTTTTATTTGTGATAATAAAACTCAGAGTCCATAAATAACTTTTTTTAAAGATTTTATTTATTAATTTGAGAAAGAGAGAGAGCGTACAAGCAGGGGGAGCGGCAGGCAGAGGGAGAAGCAGACTCCCTGCAGAGCAGGGAGCCAATGCCGAACTTGATCCCAGGACCCTGGGATCATGACCTGAGCTGAAGGCAGACATTTAACTGACTGAGCAACCCAGGCACCCCATAAATACCTTTTGATAGAAATTACTGAAATAATTAAATTCCTTCCCTAAAGCATTGGATTAGGGACTAATGGATTTTAGTCTCATCATCTCCACCTACTTACACGACTTTTTGTGCAAAAGTTCTATGTCTATTGTTTTTATTTGTCAAAAGAATATAATTCCTAGCTGAAATCATAGGGCTATCTCAAGGATCCAAGGAAATAAAGCATGCTAAAGCACTTTGAAAAGCATAAAACTGCAAAACAGAATTTTAGATACAATCTCAGTTAAGAATATAAGTAAAGCATGGCAATGTATTAAAAGAGCAATAAATTCTTCAAAAGGAAAGGTTTTATTCCAGGAATGTAAGATTGGATCAACATTAGGCATGCCATCAATTTCAATAAATAAATGGTTAAAAGAGAAAAACAATAGGATTATGCCTATAAATTCCCCAAAAGGCAATTGATAAAATACAACATTAATTCCCAGCAAAACTCTCTATAAAATGAGAAAAGAAGAAAACTTCCTTAACATGACCAAAATCCTATTTCAGAATCCTAGAGGAAATATACCAACTGGTAAAAATTTAGAAGCATTCTCATTAAAACAAAAAAGAAACAAAACAAAAACCTTATTATTTGCTCTATATTTGAACATAATTTTGGATATTTAAACCAAAACAATAAAACAAGGATAAGAAATTAAGTGTAAAATATTGTAAAGGAGGTGAAAGATCATTACTATTTACAGAGAATATAATTATATACCTAGAAAATCCAAAATGATCAACTGAAAAATGATCAGAACTAATAAAAGTGATGGTGGCAAAATAAAATATAAACAATAAAAAAATTGGGGGCACCTGGGTGGCACAGTTGGTTAAGCGGCCATCTCTTGGTTTCAGCTCAGGTCAAGATCTTGGGGTCAGGCCTCACACTCAGCAAAGAAGTCTGCTTGAGATTCTCTCTCCCTCTCCCTCTGCCTTTTCCACTCATTCTCTCTCTCTCTCTAAAATAAA